GTGTGGATTGGTGTGAGTGAGTGCATGTGCGTGTAAGCACACGTACAAGACTTGACACCAGGACTTGTGTACAGGGGAAACGCGAAATTTAAACATGTGCCAAGACCTATCATGTACGGATAAAGAAAACATAATATTTAATTAGAAATTATAATTTTCCAAAGAATAGCAGATCAAGATAGCTGTAATTAAAACGAGTTCTCTTCTTAAACCAAATATTTTTGCAATATACAAACCATTTGCTCGCACCTATGATGTCAAAGCAAATTGTTATTAATATAAGAAATATAGAAATGGAAGGCTGCATCTACAGGCAAAATTAATAAGAAATCACCTCTCAGGTAGAGAAATCCCTTCCTTCCCCAACTCCCTATAAATTTGCAGTAACCAATTTTCAGAGACAATACTCTTAGGGGTATCATTAGATTCGTCGCATTTCCTGAAAATAATAGAAGGTGTTAGTAAAGTGCTTAATCAAATGGTAAATGGTAGTGAAACTTGCCAGTCACATGTGTGCATTTGTTAATCATCCCAATTTGAAATCTTAAAACACTCCAGCACGCCAATATTAAAACAAATCCATATGATTCTTTAGCACAGTAATGTGCAAATAATTAATATGGAAGACTTCTTCAAGGTGAAGTTCCATTTACCGTGCATCAGAAGTAGATGGTTCATTTGTCGATCCAGTGTCTGGTTGAGAATCATCCACCCTAGTTTCTGCCCTCTCGGAAACTTCAGAATGATCAAATAAAGTTGTTGCTATTGAAAGACATAACAATGGTCTTGAGAATTTCTGTTAATGAGCATACAATCAGTAATGAGAAAAGGAGAGTGTCAGAATACAAAAAAACACACAAGAAAAGATCAAGAAATAATACAACCTTAAGTTTCTTCAGTAATATCATAAGTTAAAATCCATTAACTATCAATGTACGAAACAATGGACAAAAAGAACAAAATGCAATAATATCAGGAAAAATGGGTATGAGTTGGCAAGTCATCTAGCCAAATGATCTACCAAGTGATAGCCTATTGGGAGTCCCACTATGTGGTCGGCAGCACTCCTACTTCTCGCCTTTCGCTACCTCATTTTGGTAAACAAGAAGGCAGTCATATCCAATATACCCATAATATTAAGATGGGATGATGAAACACAACAAATGGATGCAAAGACTAGTATCTCCTCTAAATATTACAAACTTAATTCATGTGAGGCTTTTTGCATATATACCCCCTCAAATCTTCCATATTTGCAAATTTACCCTCCAAATCTTGGTATTTGTCTCACATTGAGTTTTTCTACCCCTTTCACTTGACAATTTTAGTTTTTTAAACAGAAAATTTTGTAAACCTATTTGGAAATTATTGGAAATTTTGACATTGCCCTGTTCAAACACCAGTATTGTTAATAAATTGGAAGGGCAGAAAAAACCAATGTGAGAGAATAGGGGGTGACTTTGTAAAATACCAAAATGTGGAGGGTGAAATTGCAAACATGGAAGATTTGAGGGGCATATATGCGAAAACCCCATCCATGTATATTTTCACGTAACCTTTTAGAAACATTTTTCTTAAATTTTTCTAGGAAGCAATGGATGTGCTCGTTTTGGGGGTTAACTAGTTATGGCCTCATTATATACATTTCCTCAATGTTGCCTACATAAGTTTATTTTAAATTCTGTCGTGTTTAACTTTTTTTCCCCGCGGTTAAATGACTCAAGGGGCATTCAGCTGCCATTTATCAGAAAACAAAATAAAAAATAAATTGGGATCGATGTAATGACATAAACCCTAGCGTTTCCGGATGCATGATCCAGTGTGCACTACTACAGCTCAATCAAACAGTTGCAATGTAGCTACCCATTGGACGTATCATTCATACCCATAACTAAAACACTAACTACAGTTGATGATGAAACAAATTTAGGGACCGAGTTCGGTGATTTGAAGGCACGGACCTGTACAGCCCGGACAATAAACCCTAGTGGCTGCCACC